CTGAGTAATGCTTAGCAGTGGTATTCAGCTGAGGGCAACCAAGTCAGAATAAATAATATCGCGACAGGTTGAGCCTCGATAGCCCCTTGCCAGCTTTCATAAATTAAGCAAAGGTGGGGAAGGAGCCCAAGACATCCGCGAGAGAGACGGGGCGATCGAAGACAGACACGTGGAATTTGATTACGTGGGAGGTGGTTGAAAAAGGACTGAGCTCTCCAGCCTCCGCTGATACATAAATTGATTTGCTCTCCTTGCTGCAGTCGTTTGAGATTGTAGGTAGGAGGAGCTACTTGGCGTCTGACGATCAGATAGGACAAACTTTCGACAGAAACTGTAATTGAAACAGACGGCGGAACGGGCTCTTCAAAGGCTCTGACCTAAATATCCGTCCTAGATTATAACGTCGTTGAATTTAAGGTGGTGGTGGGGGGATGTTTTAAGTGCAAGCAAAAGCCAAAGCCAGCTTCTCAGCGCTGCTGTGTTTGCTGGTTGGCTGCAGATCTAGCTTTGATTTGCTAAAAATAACCTATCTCTCTCGGTGCAAGGTGATGGGCTTTACTATACGGACGTAATACACCAACCGATGGCTTCTCATTGAGAAACAGCGCATCGCGAAGAGCAGAAAAACTTGTCAATTGTGATCGCGGGAGGGCGGCAGGCGGAGAAGCCCTTTCCGAGCATGCGCAGAGGCGAGAGGAAGGGATTTTTGCATGCACGATTTGCCAATTTCTTGCTCCGGAGTGTGACTCTGAGCTCTTTGGGTGGATGGGGGACGACGTTCCCTCCACCATCGATGGCATGGGCGTAGGTGATCCCGCCCCCCCCCCCCGCTCCAGATCAAGTAAGACAAAATAAATAAATAACTGACCAATCACGTCGGTTCTGCCCCCCCCAAAGTCCTGCCCCTCCTAACAAAAAATCCTGGCTACGCCCATGCTTGACGGGCTCACGAAGATGCTCCACGACAGCACCCGGTTTTGCTACCGCGTAGCCGGGAGAGGGAAAAGCGCTCCACCGCGAAGATCCTTGTCTAGTAAAGGGTGGGGAGGGCAGGTTTGCAAACGCAGCTCCCGCTGCAGGAAGCTGAGGCAAACGATCTTGCCCTCCTCTGCTGGAGCAAGAACCTCGCATGCAGACACACACACTGCAGGACTTGGGAACTCTCATTAAAAGAGGTTTTTTTCCCCCTTGTGTTGTTTTTTTATAAAATTCAAACTCTGGTCTTAATGGTCGGAGGCCTCCCACCACACACCCCAAGATATATAAAAAGGTAAAGGGACCCCTGACCATTAGGTCCAGTCGTGGCCAACTCTGGGGTTGCGGCGCTCATCTCGCTTTATTGGCCGAGGGAGCCGGCGTACAGCTTCCGGGTCATGTGGCCAGCATGACCAAGCTGCTTCTGACGAACCAGAGCAGCGCACGGAAACGCCATTTACCTTCCTGCTGGAGCGGTACCTATTTATCTACTTGCACTTGACGTGCTTTTGAACTGCTAGGTTGGCAGGAGCAGGGACCAAGCAACAGGAGCTCACCCCATCATGGGGTTTCGAACCACCGACCTTCTGATTGGCAAGTCCTAGGCTCAGTGGTTTAGACCACAGCACCACCCGCATCCCTCCAAGATATATATATATAGTTGTAAAATATGGTGATGTCTATGCACGGCCTTGCAGAGCCAGGCAGAGGCCCGGGCCAGGTAGATAATGTGCCCCTCCCTTTTTTTTTACCCTGGGGATAACTGAAGTCTTATAAATAAGTAAGTATATAAATAATTTTGTGAATATGCTGACCGAGGCCCCCTTTGGAATCAGGCCCGGGCCAAGTGGTCCATATGGCTCCCCCTCTGTCTGGGCCTGTGTCTATGACTTCACCAGCTTCCAAAAGTGGCAAGTCCTGCGTTTTGGAGAACTGGACTCCTGCCTGTAAAAGCCTTGTTGTTGTTTAATCGTTTAGTCGTTTCTGACTCTTCGTGAACCCATGGACCAGAGCACGCCAGGCACTCCTGTCTTCCACTGCCTCCCACAGTTTGGTCAAACTCATGCTGGTAGCTTTGAGAACAGTGTCCAACCATCTCGTCCTCTGTCGTCCCCTTCTCCTTGTGCCCTCCATCTTTCCCAACATCAGGGTCTTTTCCAGGGAGTCTTCTCTTCTCATGAGGTGGACAAAGTATTGGAGCCTCAGATTCAGGATCTGTCCTTCCAGTGAGCACTCAGGGCTGATTTCCTTCAGAATGGATAGGTTTGATCTTCTTGCAGTCCATGGGACTCTCAAGAGTCTCCTCTGGCACCATGTAAAAGCCTAGGTATTCATTATGACACTACTTCTACTACTGGCCACCAGGGGTCGCCGCTGCTAGACAAAGTAGACAAGAGGGGGGTTAATTGGTTTGACTCCACATCAGCTTCAAAGTAGACCCTCGCAGAAGATGCTCTCTAGAGGGGGCGGCAGGCAGAGAAAACTCACGGGATAAGAAGGGGACTCCCCTGTGCTTATTCCACGTCTGTGATCACGAGCTAAGTGGAGTAGCTAACTCTCCCCACCCCAAATTCGAAATAGTTACAACGCTTTTTGTTAATATTTAAGCGGATTTCTACATAGCCACACTTCGCTTCTTCCCCCCCCCCCCCACGTGTATAGACTTGCGTCATTGCCATGCAGGCTATCAAAGCAAATGAGCAGAGCTGTCAAGCAAGGAGACAGCGCGGTGTCTCGCGGTTCCGAGGCTTCAAGCTTTCTGGAAGATCCTCGCCCTGAAGCCTAGAAATGTGGGAGAAGCTTGCCAGTCAGGCAGGAGGAAATACACGCGAGCTCATAGGCCCCCCTTGACCTCCCCGTCCCTGAGCAATGCCATGGGAAAACTCAACCTTCGAGGGCTTTCCCCTCTCCACCATGTCTCTGGTGGCTGCCGTGGAAGAACTGCTCCCTTTTAACAAAACCGCACAATTCAGTTTGATCTGGCGCATTTTTTTTACTTGGAGCAAACCCCACTGAATTCATAAATCTATAAGCAATACCTTAAATCTTTATTAAGAAAACTGACAAATATATCAATTAATACATTTCTTTCTTACTCTCGTTTCAAAAACTATAAAGTATTAGATAGGGTTTCTGAACCTTGCTTTCTGTTAGCCTCTCTAACAGAGCCTCTGTCCGAATAATTTTAAGCTGCCAAAGTTTTGTGCTAAGTTTTGAGCTGTAAACCCCAACTTTGTGCCACCCTCCAAACTGAGTAATTGGGGGCCATAAGGACACCCCCAAACCCAACGTCGTCCAATTGACTCCAAACCAACCTATATCCATATAGGAGCATGGGGGACACTCCACTTTGGCACTGGTTTGGAGTCAATTGGACAAGGCTGGGTTTGGGGGTGTCCCTATGGCCCCTGGTTTGAGTGTCAGCTACTCAGTTGGGGGCGGACGGCAGGAAAAGTGGGGTTTGTGACACAAAACTAACACAAAACATTGGCACTGGTTTGTAGTCAGTCAGACAAAGTTGGATTTTGGACATTAACTTTGTTTCGTCAATTATAGTTGTACCTTGGAAGTCGAACGGAATCCGTTCTGGAAGTCCATATGACTTCCAAAACGTTCAGAAACCAAAGCCACGGAAGCCCCGCTGGACATTCAGGTTCCAAAGAACGTTCACAAACCAGAACACTCACTTCCGGGTTTGCAGCGTTCAGGAGCCAAAACGTCCGAGTACCAAGGCGTTCGGGGTCCAAGGTATGATTGCACTCGGTTTGGGGGGCAGGTGGCAGAAAAAGCATCAGAAAACAAGCACAAAACTTTGGCATCAGTTTGGGGTGATCCTGAATTTCGGGGTCACTGGTTAAGAGTGACAGCTGTACAAATTATTTGGACAGAGGCTCTGTTAGAGAAGCTAACAGAAAACAAGGTTCAGATACCCTATCTAATACTTTATATTTGTCAGTTTTCTTAATAATACAGATTTATGTTATTACTTTCTGCCTAAGCATTTTTCTCTCATTGAATTTTTTTTTAATGAGTCCAGGACTACCAGAAGACATAGTGAACAAGGAAACATCAAACACTACAACTCTATGCAATAAACACGTTTTCTGAGAAGTCCTGCAATGTTCACCTATTCGGCTTATATCCAGATAATTGCAGGTAGGGTTGCAGTCTTACAAGATTCCACAAAACCTAGGTACTGGACTGCCAAGGCCTTTTCTGTTCCTCCTAATTTTATATTGTAGAAAATGATGGTAGCTTTTTTGTATGTTTTGCTGTGGAGGGGGTTGTCTGCATTTAGTCTGCATCTTGCTCGGGGGGGGGGGGGATGGGGGGTGTCTTATGTAGTTCGGTGGGGTTCAGCATCATCAGTTTTTCCTCTGTGAACAATATGACCTAAGTATTGTATGTAAGAATGAAGCTCATTTTTAAAATGAAATACAAGTTGATCAGAATCTAGTCCCCCCCCATAACCTCCCAAGCACTACAGCAGTGTGATCCAACGGTGAGCAGAATCTATACATATCTAATGGTCCTTGCCCTTGAGTTCATTCAAATCAATTGCATTGGTCAGCTCTTTTTCTTTTACTCTAGCAGAATTCTGCAGAGTGCTGAGCAGGTCCCTCGTCCATTGATTTCACTGAAAAGTTGGCCTGAATAAAACATCGCTACTGAAGTGTGTAGGTTCACTTTCCTCAAGGGCAACAGCTCTCTGATGGGAGTCTATAGCGTGACTTGCCATGTTCTTGACATCTTCTGCTTTTTGCTATTCCTGGCAGACAGGCAAGGTAGGTTTATTGAGCTCATAGTGATAGGAGCTCTGCTAGGCTGTGTTTGGTTTGGTGGGTCATAAGTTGCATATACCTCCATAGGCAGAAGATTGAACCAAATCCACATTTTGCTCTGTTCTGTGGTCTATTATTGAATTTATTTATTCATTTACTTATTCATTCATTCCTGTGAACCAACCCTGAGAACTTTGTTTTAAACAAAATAAAGTATATTGAAATGTCTGTACAGGGACATGCATATGAAAACAAAAGACAATTAACACTTGTTTTGTTAGGAGACTGAGCACCTGAAAATACCAACTTTTATTTGCCCTTTTGAAGGTAATGTCTTAAAGAGCAAATGCTAGGACAATAAACATCAGATGTAACACAAGAGTGGTGCAAACTGGGAATTATCTGGACATCACAGAGGTTGCAATGTTTCATGAAGAGGTTGCTTTTTTCAAGTATGCAATGAGATCTGCCCTTTCATTACTCTTTTTAATGCCAGCAAAAATCATTTTCGTCCCTGGAATGTATTTCTTAGGATCCTCCAAATATTCCATCAGTGTGTTTTCACTCCAGACAATACCTGGAAAATTTAGAAAGTGATGAAATACCAATTTCTAATCCCATGACTGTTTCACCAATTGGTGTCACCTTTACTGTGAGAGATTTCAAAATTTATTGGGACATATATAAAGGAAAATATTATTGAACAGCTTATGTTCTTAATTCCAAAGGTTAAAAAAAGGATTAGAAAGAATGTCAAACAAAAGCCAGTTTTCATTACTGTTTGCACACATTTAATACTTAGCATGTATCTGGCATTCTATTTACTTTTGACTCGCTTTTTCATAATCAAACTTGGATTCATGAAGTAGCGGATCTCTATATGTCCTAGAGACAAGTTGTGTCACTTTGAACAAGGTAGCTTCTTCTAACATAATCACATTTAAAAGCCAAAATAAAAACCTTCCAAATCATCATCTTCTTGAAATTAAAAATTATTTTCTGAACCTAGATGGAAGTTAAACAACCAAGGTTGAAAACCAACAGGTTGTTGAAATTCCACATACTTCGGCAAGTCTTTCAGTTGATTTTTCCTGAAAATTTGTGTCATCTCAATCTTTTAAATACAGGAAAATGTAATGAAAGCTGGGATTGCACATTGTCCAATGAGATGCTGAAGTGCCCTTATCAAAAGTCCAATAGTCTTTTGTTGTTTTTCTATAGTCAGAGCCGATTACTGGTTGCAACACTGGGGCTACTTTATTCTTATTCTAATGCCCCCTCTATTCTTTTGCTTGTGCCACCTTACCATGGGTAAGTTGCACTGCAGCCTTCCACAGCGGTCCACCTGTTCAGTGGAAATAGTCACCTGAGGCTCTCCTCTGTGTGTCCCTACCTTCTGCAGTTTGGTGGAAGGTTAACTGGGAAGAAATCCTTTTAACTGGTGACTCACCTTTGAAATGCCCTCCTGTGGTGCCTATACTGCTGCCAGTTAGGCATCAGGTGAAAAGCATTCTTATTTTCCAGGCTTTTCAATTACCCTTTTAATTTATTTGAAAACTAATTTGTTGCCCTTCCAGTATAATCCTACTGCTCAGGGTGACTTAAAACAATCAAGAACAACAACATCATCATCTCATATAAGTAAATAAGCATGTGGGAAATGGGAAAAGGCTCAGTAGACAAAAATGGTATAAATGAAGCTCCATCACATAAAAATAATCCAGTAAGAAAAAAAAGGGGGGGAGGGGGAGAACAGTAAGAGAGAAGGCCAAACGGATCTCACAAGGTCATACATTTTACAATCTGGGAGTAGCCACTAAGAAGTCAGTATCTCTCATTGTCTTGTTTCAAACCATCATGCCTCAGTAATGGATAAGACAAGGGGGTCTCTAACATATATCAGTAGAGAGATTCACTTAGATATGTCTTTGATAACTTCAGGTTTTCTCACATTTGATCAACAGGTTGAGCTGCTGCTGTGAAGGTTTTTTAAAAAACCTTCCTATATTAGTTGGTGCCTTGAGACCTATCACAGTTAAAGGTGCATGATACACATTTAGTAATTAATTTGAAATAAGCATAAACTACTATATAATTGCATATCCTCTGATCCACACTTAAACTGATTTCCTTGGAACGTTCTTCCAAGTAAGTATGCTTAGAACAGAAGCTCAAGCGTATCTGCAAAACAGAGGCCCTCAATTCTGCTCCCCAAAATGTGGAAATATGCACGCACACTTGCAGTGAATTATCAGAGGCAAGCCATTCCTAAAGGTATGCTAGAAAATAAGCTGGGGTCCGAGCAGCTGGCAGTAAGCATGTGCATCCTAGCCTCTGCCTGCCAGAACAAAACCTGGTGTCTATAGCTATTAGTATACACAATCTGATGGCTGTTAGAAGAAATTCAAGAGGAGATGGGCAAGTCAGACAGTTTCAGGAGGCACATGGCCAGTCTGCAGTTGGCCTTATCAGAATAATAAAATTAATTGAAAATCCAAGGATACTAGCAGTCTAATCCATTTGCTTTAAGCTGTCACAGAGAGAGGCAGTATGATGTAGTGGTTAGTGTGAGACTAGAAATTGATAGACCATGGCTCAGCCATGAAATTCACTGGGCCAGTTATCCTATCTCACCCTTACCTACCACACAGAAGAAGAAGAAGAGTTTGGATTTGATATCCCACTTTATCACTACCCGAAGGAGTCTCAAAGCGGCTAACATTCTCCTTTCCCTTCCTCCCCCACAACAAACACTCAGTGAGGTGAGTGGGGCTGAGAGACTTCAGAGAAGTGTGACTAGCCCAAGGTCACCCAGCAGCTGCATGTGGAGGAGCGGGGAATCAAACCCGGTTCCCCAGATTAGGAGTCCACCGCTCTTAACCACTACACCACACTGGGACGTTCTGTGGATAAATAGGGGAGAGTGAACCATGCACACCAGCATGAACTGCTTGGAGGAAAGGGAGCATATAAATGTAATAAATAACATTATGGATTGTATGCAGCTAAGTTATTCCAAGAGCCAACCCACTGAAAACAATGGGCCTATTCTGGAGTATATCATTAACACAGCAAATAGCATTTGCCACCAGGAAGTCTCTGCAAACCTACTAAAAACAAAGAAACGCCTGCAGTGCCAATCTGGCTCCTGGCCATCTCAAATCAGCATCCAAATCAGGATGCTGCATAGAGCCAGGGCCATCATTAGTCCTGCCTCCATCCCCACTGGTACCAAACAAGGGACAGTAATGCAGCTCATGCTCTGGTGCTGTGGTTCTGGCGCATTAGGGGCTCTGTGAGATTGATCCCATGCAAGTCCATGCAATGACTGGACCATAAAACTTGCAGTGCACAAGTTGTTAAATCCAAACCAGAGGTTCAAGTTCATATTCTTTATATAAAATCAGAAGAATATTTTCAGAATGTATTTCCAAGAGTTGCAAAGTAATCTCCCAGTGAAGTTCTTCCCTTCTCTAACTTTGGGTCGTGTTTATTCAGCAATACTGTCATGACGCAACTGATTATCCGCCCCCCCTTTTTTTTTACCTTTATTCTTGTTTGCGTCTGAATAAGAAAATCCTGCAGCTTGTCCTGTTTTTCGGCCAAAGAGACCCCAAAGATTTGGGCCGGTCTTGTGCTTTCCACCTTTGTCAGCTGTATGACACTGAGAACATTTTTGAACAAAGATCTTTTTACCCTTTTCAAAATCACCCATGGCAACCTATGAAAAAGAAATGCGGAAAAATAAAACTACGATGTGTTTGAAATGATTCCCTCTTTTTTAGCACACTTGTTTCTCAATGCATGTTTATATTTGAAAGGAAGAAAGCAAAGGAAAACATTATTTTGTGGTGATGGTAGTGTAATGGAACACTGGAAGTACTATTGTTTAATAGAAAGCTAACAATTTGATCCTACACGTATTAACTCTTAAGGAAATCCTACAGATCTCAGTGAGATATACTTCCAAGTAAGTGTGTACACAAGATTGTGCCCACAGGCTAGTCTTGAGATCACTTACCTAAACATATAGAGTGGGGAGGGATTTACCTCTTAATAAATATGGACAGCATAGATTGCTCTCCTGGTTTTCATACAGAAGTCATTTGCCAATGTTCTTTTCTCTGCTTATGGCATGCTTACAATGGACATCTGCTTAGTGTGAATTTTGAAAGCTGTACATCACTGGTTTATATGCAGTCACTCGTTTATATGCTGTCACTGGTTTATATGATAGCTGAGGTTTGATGGAAGGGGGCAAGACAAAAAAGGATCCAGCAGTCAACTCATCTGCTTCAAACCTATTATTTCTGCACACAGACCATCAAACCACCGCCCATGCCTTGAGTGCACCATAAAAATAACAGGTGATTTGGAAAATGACAGTGGCTTTGGGAAGCTCTACTGAGAAATCGTGAGGATCCATGAAGATCTAACATGTTTCTCCATGCAAGCAATGCTCAGTGGGTTGCCTATGAAAGATTGCTAGTCCCAGGACATGGCCCATATACAGGGAATTATAGAAGTAGGTCTCTGTACCTATGCCTCAAGAAGAACAGAAGGATTAAGCTTTTAAACAAGAGGGTGAAACTTTTCTAGCCACCCAGCCTAGTATTTATTGGAAAAGAAATGAATATGTGTGCGTGTGTACAGTAAATAAATAAATATGCTCTCTCATGTGGAATAAGCATAATATACATACTGTATCTGCTCAAAGCTGACTGAATGGGAGCGATATAAACTGGATAACAAAATATTATGGAGGATTAGATGCTTTACAATAAGAATAAAATGAAAGTAGGGGAGCAGGGTCTCTCCCCTGAGATTCCTGCCAAGGTAGCTAGTTTCTGTGTAGCAAAAAACTATGAACACTTTATGGTGGTTTTTTTGTTTTTTTAAAACCCATTCTAATACAATGATTTTATATTTCCCACTGTTTCTGTATTTGACATTGCTTTTAAATACAATATTTAACGCTGCACTTAATGTAATATACTGTGTTTTATGTGTTCAGTTTTCTTCCTCTACTTGTTAGGAACAACAACTCCCTTCTCTTGCGGGGGCCCAATTAGTGCCATTGCCTTCCGTTAAGAGTTTGGGTGTAATCCTTGACGCCTCCCTGTCCATGGAGGCGCAGGTTACAGCAACAGCCAAGGCGACATTTTTCCACCTTCACCGCATCAAGCAGTTGGTCCCTTACCTTTCCTGCCCTGACCTGGCCACAGTGATCCATGCGACGATCACCTCCAGGCTTGACTACTGTAATTGCTCTACACGGGGCTGCCCTTGAAGCTGTCCCAGAAACTCCAGCGGGTGCAGAATGCTGCAGCGAGGCTCCTCACGGGGTCTCTGCCATGGGAGCATATTCACCCAGTGCTTCTCAAGCTGCACTGGCTCCCGGTGGAGTACAGGGTCAGATTTAAGGTGCTGCTTTTGACCTTTAAAGCCCTTCACGGCCTAGGACCCTCGTACCTACGGGACCGCCTCTCCCGGTATGCCCCACGGAGAGCCTCAAGGTCCGTAAATAGCAACACCCTAGTAGTCCCGGGCCCTAAGGAAGTTAGATTGGCTTCAACCAGAGCCAGGGCCTTTTCAACTCTGGCTCCAGCCTGGTGGAACGCTCTGCCTCATGAGACCAGGGCCCTGCAGGATCTGATTTCTTTCCGCAGGGCCTGCAAGACAGAGTTGTTCCGCCTGGCCTTTGGCTTGGAGCCAATTTGATTCCCTCCCTCCCTCTCTTTTTTTTCCTTTTCCTTCTCCTCCTGCGATGAGGCTACATTTTAATGTTTCATTATTTTAATGTTGTATTTTAATTTTGTTTTAAGTTGTAATCATTCAACTTGTTTTTATTACTGCTTGTAAGCCGCTCTGAGACCAGCCTTGGCTGGGGAGGGCGGGGTATAAATAAAAATTAATATTATTATTATTACTAGTTATTAAGATATACCTTTCTATCTGTATCTAGATATCTATATCTAGATATCACACACACACGTGTGGAATAAGCATGATATAAATATCTGCTCAAAGCTGACTGCTGGAAGGAATGGGCGCGATATAAACCGAATAACGAAACGTTCTTGAGGACTAGGCGCTTTACAACAAGAATAAAATGAAAAAGGGGAGCGGGGTTTCTCCCGTTCCCTGTATCTCTTCCTACCACTGCCTACCTTCAGTCCAGACTACGACAGGGCCCAGCCCCTCCCCCTCCCCGCTAACAATCCAGTTTTTACCGCGTCGCGCGACTGTCACAACTCGGTCGCGCATCTGGCGACAGACGCCGCCAAGGCGGATAAAGGTTTTTAACGTGTCACAATAAAGCCGCCCAATCACAAGCCACCGTCGGCGGACGTTCTGAGCAGCGATTGGTGCCTTTTGTCGGGGGCGGGGCCGTTCTGCTTCGGCCAAGACTTCCCGTCTGTGGGGGAAAAAATGAGCCGGCGCGCGTTCAACAGTCGGCGGCGGGGGACGGAGCCACGATATTGGCTCTCGCCGTAGCCAATAGCGGCTCCTTTCTCTGCTGTCCTCCCCGCCCCTTGGTGTTACGGTTAAAATGCACGGAGACCGTTTGTTTGACACTCGCGAGAGTAGGGGCTTTATCGCCTCCCAATCGCGAAGGGGCGCTGTGGTGCGTTCGATTTCCCTGCGCTGTGAGGGGCACCACCGAGACGCGGATGTTGAAGGAGAGCAGACGTGACAGCTCGAGGACGAGCTTCCGGTTTCCGTCCAAGATGGCGGCAGCGATGTCTGGTCGCCTCCGATATTGGAAGCGACGGCAGCCGCTTGTTCCTGGCGTGAAATAAACGCGAATTCCCACCCTCAGGCGACAGTCGCTTGCTTGTGGTGACAGGCAGAGATGTGTCTGTCGGAAGACAGCCCGTTGAGAGCCAGATTATCTCGCTTCTGGCTAGACAAGCACAGCAAGAGGACTTTCCTCAGGGCTTCCCTCAGCTCGCAGGCTTGTCTGGCCATGGAAGCGAGGAAAGGTCTGCGCTTGTTGCCGACCTCGTAAGCCTCTGAAGCAATAGTCCTGCCCCTTGTCAAATAACGGAACTTGCTCCAGTACTCCCAAGACAAAAACACGATTCAATGTGAAATATACTCGGAGTCGAGAGCGGATTTCATGCTCTTTATTCAGCTCACAGTGGTGAGAAGGAATGGAAGTTCTCCCAGAATGTCTGCTTTATATACATTACTTACACAATGGGCCCCACGTGATTGGCTAATTCCGGGATTCTCCTGTAGGCCAATCAGGTTGCGGATTCACTTTCATCTGGAGCTGGATTGGGTGGCTCCTGTGGACCAATCAGACTGCTGCATTCTGGATCCTATTGTTCTAGGACCGATCAGACTGCTGCATTCTGGATCCTATTGTTCTAGGACCAATCAGACTGCTGCATTCTGGATCCTGTTCAACTCAGTACATAACAAATGTGTTGTTAGACAAGAGGAAATGTTCTGCGATGCAGCTAGTGTGAAATTGGATTAGGCTTGCTTTTCTCTACACTGCTGCTGAGTCCCCTGCTCTCCTACACAGACAAGCCTCAAAGGTCTATGTCTTGGAAAGTGGATTCAATCATTTCATCGGGTGTTTCTGAAAACTAAACGTGAAGATCTAGACCTTTATTTCTGTAATTTTTTTATTTTATTTTTTTGGAAAGGGCTTCCTTCTTTAAAAGGCAAAGTTTTTAATCTGCAAACCCTGCTTAGAACAAATGGCTGGCATCTCCTTAAGTCTTGTTACCTACACAGCATCAGTGAGAGTCACTTATGCAAAATAAGATAAAAGTCTTGTGAAAAAGGAAAATTTCCGCATTTTGCATCTATTTAGGACCATATGTAAATGAAAATTTAGCTCCACGCTGTTACATTATCCATGAAATAAAAGCACTGAAGCTTTATTCTTCTGTACTTAAGGACTCATGCTATCTTTACTCCAGCATGGTAGCTATAATGATCAATTCAGTTCACAAGCTGCCCTTTCTCTTTAACCTTTCAATTCAAGCCACAATAAAAAAAGAGACTAATTTTAATTAAACCTGACTTCTCCAATACATAAGGCAGGGGTGGCTAGCCTGTGGCCCTCCAGATGTTTCTGAACTACAATGTCCATCAGCCAATGGCCAGTGATAAACTTCACAACTACCCTTGGTAATGGGAACCTTGGACAAGTCACTTAGCTGACCCTACCACAGATTGTAAGGGTAATGGCGGGACCCCTGTGATTGCTGTCTTGAGTTCTTTGAAGGAATATGAGTATTAAAATGTGAGAACTATCCAGTGATGTAATGCCTCCAGTTCTTAATTCTCTAGGAAGGATAAAAAATGAGTGAGAAATGAAATGAAAAGGGGCACAGAAGTAAACTCAGAATGCAGGGAGCTATGTGATTTAGTCCAAGTTAGCTATCACCCTAAGTTTCATTCCAACATTAGTCATGTGCAAATCAGACCACCTTAGGCCCAAGTGCCAAATGTGGCCCTCCAGGCCCCTCAGAACTCTACCCAGGCCCCACTACCCAGGCCAAGTTTGTAGTCTCCTTGTGTGTGTTTGTGACTAGAATGTGTCCTTGAACTCTGGTAATGCCTCTTCATTAGTTAGATGGTGGATGGAAAGGAGTGTGTGAATCTATATGTGCTGGTCCCGGGGGGAAGGTTACCGTTGGCGTAGTCAAAGTCCGGTCTTGGGTCACTAGTCTGAAAACAGTTCACAAGGAGCGAGGCAAGGTCCGAAGCAGGAAGCCGGGCGGGGACAGGAACACTGGAAGGTCAGGTCTGGGTCCGGGCAGCAGCAGGTACTCAACGACATTGCTCCCACAACCTGGGACCGGGCTGACTGGCCTTTATCTTCTCTGAGGCCAAGGGCGGTCCCGGCCCCCAGGAGACCCGCCTCTCCTGGCCTTAAGGCGAGCACTCCTCCTGGGAGAAACCAGTTCCCTCCGCCTCTCTGCCCTAAGCCTCTGCAGTTCAGGAGAGGCTGGGGAGTTACTGGACCCAGGGGGAGACTCACCTTCCTCAGGCAGGGCCGGGAGAGGCGCACCTGTGCAAATCACTGTGCACTGTGCAAATCACAGGCACTGTGTCCTTAATCACCTCCGGAGCTAGAGTGGAATCACCTGGTGCCTGCTCCTGAGGATCTGGCACAGGTACAGGCGCTTCAGATCCAAGGCCCCGCCCCAGCTCAGCCGGCCCTGGAGGCGGGGACTCTTGTGCAGGCTGGGGTTCCTCCGGTTCAGCCTCTGAATCGGATTCCCAGGCCATCACACTATAGAAACTATCCTGCTGTCAGGCTGCAGAGGATCCAACCCCCACGACAAGTTGCCAGGAACAGATAAGACAAGGAAAAGGCCTTACCAACCGTTTTTCATTCAATATTCACAGAGAGAGGCTTAGAAATGTAGCCTCTTGGAATAATGGTGTTGCCCTGAGTCCCCACCCCCTCCCTCTCATGTGTCATTGCTATAGGTGCCGAAAAGTGCCCTCTGCCTTTGAGCTCTTTGCTCTCCTACTTTCAATGCTCTCTGGGTGAGTGGGGGTCTGGAATGCTTTCTAAAGACACTGTGTCCATCAGCTGCCGCCCCTCTGGCGCTGCTGCTTCTTCCTCCTCCTCTCCCATTATTTCCCAGCTTTCCCCATCATCAGCCTCTGAGCTGTGATCTCCCTCAAACGCCTGTTGTAATTCTGAATTGTCTTCTTCTCTGGAAGGGTCAGGCTGGGGAGGCGGTCTCCACCATTCCTCCTCTGACCAGTCCCTGACACCTGCTGTACAAAGACAGATCCTGCAAGAGTCCCTATTTTCCAGGGACAGTCCCCGATTTACAGAAGGTTTCTGATTTGATCCTGGAATGTCTAGCTTTTCCTTAGGATGTCCCTGTTTTCATCAGATAAATGTTGGAGGGTATGGAGTTATATGACTCCCAAACTAAGGCGATAAGTAACTATATAACCTTTAGAAGACATCTGAAGGCAGCCCTGTATAGGGAAGTTTTTCTTAATGTGTAATGTCCCTATTTTCATTGGAGAAATGTTACAGGGTATGCAAAGATAAAGTTTACATTCGATGCTCTGCCCACTTTTGCCTCTTGCCCCACCCACCACTGGCCTATGGCCCTCAGAAGGTTGCCCAGAAAGGAATGCAGCCCTCAATCTGAAAAGGGTTTCTTACTCTTGGAGTAGACTCATTGAAATCAATGGGCTAAAATCACATAAGTTTTATTAGTTTCAGTGGGTCTGCTCTGAGTATGACTTAGTTGTGTACCACCCAATTATTCTAAAGTAAAATCTCTTCAGATTATATGCAAGCTGAGTTCTGTGTTGTTAACTTGCTAGTTTCCAAGAAAGTGTGTATGGAAGTTATTAACATATGTCACCACCTAATTATTATTATTATTATTATTATTATTATTATTATTATTATTATTTTATTATTTGTATTGCACCCATTTGATGGGGTTGCCCCAGCCATTCTGGGCAGCTCTCAAAAGAATATTAAAAACACGATAAGACATCAAACTTTAAAAACTTCCCTAAACAAGGTTGGCTTCAGATGTCTTCTGAAAGTCAAATACAGTAGTTGTTTATTTCCTTGACATCTGATGGGAAGGCTGGTGCAACTACCGAGAAGGCCTTCTGCAAGATGGTGGCAACGTGTATTTGGAATGAAAAAAAAAGTATATTATCTTGTAAATTGTCTTGGCTTGTTTTACACAGGCCAGTGATGTTAGCGTTGTAGCATCCAATAATCATGGTTCTTGTGCACTGGACAAAGGCTTTTTGTTCTCCCAGGCCTTATAACATATTTTAATGCTGGGTGGTCGGGTTTTAGCCCTTCTCAGCTCTTTTATTAGTAGGTTGTTTCACACAGCTTGTTCTGCTCTTACTGTTTTCTGTGGGATTTTAAAAATATTGTATTTGTTTCATATTGCCCTCCATATTTTTTATATATACATATACATACAACCACCCACCCACACCCTTTGTTATATGTCACTAGAAAACACGTATTACAAGGCGATGTCACTAGAGAACACATATTACAAGGAAAAATGCAAATAATATTTTGAAAGAGAGCAGAACAATTTCACCCCTTACTATGCAAAGCTCTGTTACAATCCAGCAGATGTCACTGGTGTCCAAGATCTTAATATATAATGTGTACTTCAACAGGGCAAATTAACAATTGTATTTTGGAAAATCCAGCATTTTTTGCAGGTAGTTAATGCAATATTTTGCCACACACGCACGTGTAGATATACTGATATGAACTTTGAGTTTCTTTTGTGGCAGAAGTCTTAGGTGAAATCTACTGCTGGACAAATAGGTTTATTTCTGGGCAGAGTACAAATTTAGGCGCTGCTTATCACAGGCTGATGCTCCTCTTCTTCCTCTGTTTTCCACATTTTATTCAGAATTGGGTTACTCAAACTGTTCCCAAATAGAACAATTCTAATTTTAAACTGCAATGTGGGTTTTAAGCCTTTAATAACTTTCCCTCAGAACCTTTTTCAGTTCCTGTTTTAGGAGGTGTTAAGCTAATTATGATTATGCAATTTCTTGACTAAATAGGATAAGGCAGCAGTGATGAGCAACAAAATGTGCAAGGGATGAAGGGATGCCGTCCAAGTAAATAAAAGAAAGGAAAAAGGTGGACAAAAAGGTGGGAAAATAGAGCATACAAGTATCTTAGAACCCATCTTGGCAAGTAAGTAGTACATACATTAAGAAGATTAAGCACTCAAAATAGGTCAAGGGGGCTGTTTTTTATGACAATACAGTGTGTCATGAGTTATCCAAGCTCACAAAGTGACCCCACTGCACACACAAACCCTCAGAATCACCTTCAGTGACCAGAGTGCTTTATGAGCACAAGACACAAGGTCAGCCTATGGTGGCAATGGGTGGGAGGAGGGTACATGTCAATGTAGATGCGGCCAAACTGGGTGCGGCCGAAATGTAAAAGGGAATTGGTGAGAGCAGAGCATTCTCAGTACAGTGGTACCTCAGGTTACATACGCTTCAGGTTACAAACTCCGCTAACCCAGAAATAGTACCTTGGATTAAGAACTTTGCTTCAGGATGAGAACAGAAATTGTGCTCCAGCAGCGCTGCAGCAGCAGGAGGCCCCATTAGCTAAAGTGGTGCTTCAGGTTAAGAACAGTTTCAGGTTAAGAACGGACCTCTGGAACGAATTAAGTACTTAACCTGAGGTACCAT